GTTTCACTGATGCTGCCTCCTGGTATGTGATGATCGCATTCATGAAGACACGCGACGCCGCCCTTGATCGTTTCAAGAAATTCGAGCAACTTCTTGAGACACAGCGCTCTCGGCGCATCAAAACCATACACGTGGACAATGCCAAGGAGTACACGGAAGGCCAATTCAAGGCCTACCTCGAATCTCGCGGCATCATCTGTCGCACCACGGCACCCTACTCGCCTCCGCAGAACAGCGTTGCTGAACGTCTGAACCGCACGCTTGCTGAACACACACGCGCGATGCTTATCGCGCACGAATCCCCTAAGTTCTTGTGGCAGGAAGCTTTCGCTTACGCCTGTTATCTTAAGAACCGGTCCCCGACCCGATCACTCCGAGGTGTGACACCATACGAGCTATTTTGGGACAAGCGTCCCGACCTCCAGGATGCTCAGGAGTTTGGTATACCCTGCTGGGTGCTCGTCCCGGACAACAAACGCACAGGAAAACTTGACGCCAAGTCTGAGAAATACCACTTCACTGGAATCAGCGATAATAGCGCAGGTTGGCGCTATTATGCTCCAGGTATGCGTCAGATTTTGGTCTCGCGCAATGTGATCTTTCAGCGACAGCGCGCGGCACCTATTCCCCTCGTTGACGGAAGCTCCGCGCTTGAGGGGGAGAGTTCTACTAGTACGCCTACATCAGTTTCTACCAAGCCCGAAGCTCCCGCCATCACCAAAACGTCACCGCAGACCCAGACACCTGCGAAATCACTCCAGGAACCAGCCTCTGTGCCGGCGCCCGTCCGCGCATCAACCCGCGCCACAAAGCGCGTCGATTACCGGCAACTTCACGAGACCGGTAAACAAGTCCCCGCTGATCCGTCTCCTACCGCCCAGGCACACATGGCTTTCGCCGCCGCCGATTTCGACAATCCACGGAATATCGAGGAGGTGCGGCAGCGGGAGGACTGGCCGCAATGGGATGCGGCCATGGATGCGGAGATGTCACAGCTCAAGGCCCGAGGGTCTTGGGAGCTGGGGGACTTACCAGAGGGACGAAAGGTGGTCGGATGCCGCTGGGTGTACGCGATCAAGCGCGACACTGACGGCTCGATCATCAAATACAAGGCGCGTCTTGTCGCGCAAGGCTACTCACAAATCCCCAGACAGGATTATTTCGCGACCTATGCACCGGTCGTGCGACTTGAGTCTTACCGCGTTTGCGCCGCTATCGCCACCATCTCTGATCTGGACGACGACACCATAGACTACGAAGGCGCCTACCTCAACGGCACACTCAAGGAACCCATCTACATGCGCCAAGCGCCCGGCTACGATGACAGCTCCGGGCGCATCTACGTCATGATCAAAGCGATTTACGGCCTGAAACAGGCTGGCCGCGTCTGGAATGATTTGCTAAATCATGTCCTGGTCTCCCTCCTGGGCTTCACGCGTTCAACTGCAGACCCGTGTGTATACTACAAACCTGCCACGTTGCTAACAATGGCATTACTCCATGTAGATGACACCACACTGTACGGAAAGCGCAAGGCACTCAACGATCTCAAAGCCGAGATCGCCAAGCATTTCACTATCACCTCCTCGGGAGGTCTGAGAACCTTCGTCGGTCTTCAGATTGATCGCAACCGCGCTGCCCGCACTTTCACCCTCCATCAGACACGCTATGTCCAGACCATCCTCGAACGTTTCGGGATGCAGGACTCCAATCCCGTCGCCACACCGCTTGACCCGAATGTCAAGCTCGCGCCGCTCTCTGACGGCGAGGCGCCCGTTGATGCGCCCTATGCTGCCGCCATCAGCTCCCTTATGTACGCCGCTGTTGGCACCCGTCCGGACATCGCATTCTCCGTCCAGACACTATCTCAATTCACCACGCGCCCCTCTCCCACGCATTGGACAGCCGTCAAGCATGTCCTCCGCTATCTCAAGGGCACCGCCGCCCTCGGTCTCACTTACGGTCCCGACATCAAGGGTCTGATCGGGTACTCAGACGCCGATTGGGCCCAGTCCCTCGCTGACCGCCGCTCCGTCTCCGGCTATGCTTTCCAGCTCGCCGGCGGCATCGTCAGCTGGAGCTCGAAGAAGCAGACCACCGTCGCCCTTTCCACGATGGAAGCCGAGTACATCGCCCTTGCGCATGCCGCCAAGGAAGCTGTCTGGCTCTGCCGCCTTCTCGACGAGCTCGGCACTTCCTCGGACTCTCCCACGACCGTTCACACGGACAATCAATCCGCTATCGCATACGCACACGACCACCAATTCCACGCCCGCTCAAAACACATCGACATCCGGCATCATTTCCTCCGTGATCTCATCGACGCCGGTACTATCTCCGTCATTCACTGCGCCTCCGAAGACAACGCGGCCGACATGTTTACCAAGGCGCTCGCTCGCCCTACTCACACCCGGCAGCTCTCCCTCGCGAACATGACTGCTCGTTGAGGGGGAGTGTTGTAGTATCTGAGGCGCCGGATGCGCATCAGCCGCGCCGGTAGGGATACCGACATGACGCGCTTAGGTCGTCATGCCCAATATGGATCTGTTATGCCCGTTTTAGATATGACCCGCGCAGAGCACTCTCGGCTCTGCGCCCTCGTTATGCTTCCTCTATAGTCTCAGCTTCCTAAGGTACATTTTATTGGTCTGACCAGATTAGGAAGTAGATAACCTATATAAGAACATGTAGTATTATTTTTGGAATTTATCCTTGATTACTCGTGAATCCCCCGCCTGCGCGAAGTCTTTCACAACAGCGCCCCGAGCCAACCTGCAAGCCACAGTATCGCACCACCTCTCCACATGTCTCCACTATGTCCATCAGGCATCGCAGGCTCAAAGCTAGAAGCCCACGACTTGCGTCTCATCGCTGATCGTGGTGCCTACTTGCTTCGACAGCTGACGCCCGACTTGAGCCCCCGGGCAGCCTGCATATGAGTGACAACTCACGTACCTGCCGTGCGTTATCGGTCATACAAGCTCTAACTGCAAGGCGAATACAGAAAGGACTAGACGTCCTTGGGTGCCAGCGATTAGCGGAGCCTGGCAGTTCTTGCGTGAGCATCCTTGTGTGAGTTTGGCTGGCCCTGGGACAAGGCGCAGCTGTCACTGGCACCGCGACCTTAACACAACGGCTCGGTACTTCCAGTCTTCACCACCGAGTAATGTCTGTAAAGGGTACGTTCTCTCTCCTGTGCCCTATGGTTTGGCAGTTTGCAAGGACGACTAACACCCAAACCTTACTCACCAACAGCGCATGCACCACAGTTATACACGTATTGATTGACTGGCTGATGTAGTATGCAGGGCCGAACGGAAATGCTGCAGGCACAGGCCGCACAGGGGAAGGCACAACAGGGCTTGAACCTCGCGTACCCTCTTCCCGTCATCACGTCGGCCGGTGCCACCACCAAGCTGCGCTGCAATGGCAGACTCAGGTGGAGTGAAGGGTCCCTGTTTGGTAGCGATGACGCGTTGTTTGAGTAGAGGGCCATGTAACAACCCTCTGTGTATGTTAATACTTACGGAAATACCGCTCTCCAGCGACGCTGCTGTTCTTGGGTGCCTTCCCGCCATCTACTGCACCCGGCCTACTGCACTCGAGCCTTGGACATTTCGCAGCCGCGTGTACCTATACCATGACCATGTATATGACTACCCACCTTCGCAAATATAAATATACAGATTTGTACCGGTCTGCATGCGACAACTGCCGTCTGCAGTTCAAGACCATATTTATTTTGAGTGCTATGATTGTCCTGAATGACACTATGCAGGGGAATCGGCAATGGGCGTTTGACGCCCATATCCACGAGTAGTTAATGGCGACGAAAATTCAGCGCCTTATGAAGCAGGCAGCGCATCAGCACGTGACTCAGGCGCATCACTATGGGCGCATCAAATGGCAAACGCTTTATAAGCGCATCCTTGTCGACTCATCTTGCTCTCTATTCGCTTTTGTGTTCGTTCAGCTGTCTAGTGCACTTGTCAGTGAGCGAACGGCCACGAATAATAGTCGACTTACGAGCTCGGCCAGGGCGTGAACTGGCCCAAGAGTCGTAGATGCAGAGCCAGCACATCTCCATTTTACTAGCTCGTCTTCACTAATCCCAAGCTCGAAATAGAGCAATTGCCCATGCATTCAGCAAGATTAACGCACAGAATTATGCTTATGATACACAGGGTCTATCAAGGAGTCTAGTATGATTACGATGCCAAAGAGAAATACAATACACACGCGCATACATCCCGCAACTGGTCGACATGAAAGTATAAGATTGTCGACGTCCGTCGCATCCCTCCACAAAGTAAAGCAAGAGTCCATTGTCCATAAAAATGAAGTGTGAGTGCGTGTATGCTGCACTGTCTCTGAATAGGAAGCCGAGAAAAAATGTCACTGAAAGAGGCCGCTCAGCACTTTTGCCACATCTTCACGTAGTCGACCACGAGGGCGCGCTGCGTGAGGTCTGTTGGCCAGGTAGAGTACCAATCCGACTGATGCGTCGCAAAGTCGTGCATCGCAGCTAGAAGAGCACGAAGTCAGTATGCGTGCCACTGTTCGACAGGAGAGAAGAAAGACTCACTGTCAGAACCGTCCAGCCAGGGCTTGTTGCCGACGCCATCCGGGAACCACCCGTTGGTGCCACCGGCGGCGACGTTCATGATCAGGTAGAACGGCTGGTCGAACGGCGCGGCGTTGCTCGCGTTCGCCCACGGGTTCGGCGTCTGGATCGTCTGGGAGCCGTTCTGGACGAACGGCGGGAAGTCGCCGCGGGTGAAGAAGGGCTCGTTGAAGGAGATCTGGAGCATGAAGTGCAGGCGCGTGTCGACGTAGATCCGCAGGAACGACTCCGTCCACTCGAGCGAGTACGTGTGGAAGCCCTCGTCGTACGACGACCGGCGCGTGTTCCACCAGCCGAACGTCTTGCTCACGCCGTTCAGCCACGTGAACGGGCCCCAGTTGAGCGAGCCCCGCACGTAGTCGACGCCCTGCGCCTTGTAGTCCGGGCCGTTCCCGCGCGACTCCATGATGTCGATCTCGCCCGATGCCGGCCAGATGCCGTACGTGTCCTGCTCGGGCAGCATCCACAGCGCAGGCCACAGCCAGTCGCCGCGCGGCAGCTTCGCGCGGATCTCGACCTTGCCGTACTGGATCTTGTAGCTGTTCTGCGTCGTCAACCGTGCAGACATCACGGGGTTGATGACCGACCCGGACGTCGAGTTGGACACGGCACCGCAAGCGGAGACTGCCATGATGTCAGCAGGAACAAGCTTCTCGTGTCACAAACGACTTACTGTTGGTGTTGGTGCAGCCAGAGATGTTGTACGTGTAACCGTTCAGGACGTTGGCAGCGCCGATGACGTCTGACGTCAGGGTCGGGACAATGTACAAGAAGCCGTCCTGGACATAGCTGTTGTTCGATGAGTCCGTCGTCATTTCAAATTCGCCATTGCTGCTTTTAGAGTTAGCTCAAGCTCTCGGTGATGGCCACATCAGAAACGCACCCATAACCACTCATGTCGACCTGGCGCGTCCAGGTGTTCTCCGTGTCGAACGTGTCGAAGTTGTCCTCCATGATGAGACACAGGTTGCCGACGCGCGGCACGTCCTTCCACGCAAAGTAACAACGGAGCGCGCCGCCCACGATGCCGAGGAAGGCGACGAGGTACGTGAGCCAGTACGCGAGCCGACCCTGGGTGTCCTTCTCCTTCACCCACGGTTTCTCGATGGTCCCGGAGAGCATCGTCGACCGGAAGCGCTTCGAGCGCGGGGCAGCGAGCGAAAAGCGGGACGCGGACGGCAGGTTCGCTGCCGGGCGCCGGGACATAAGTGCCGGGGACATGAAGCTGTCGCGCACGGTGCTGGACCTGCTGGTGAGGCCTGGGCGCGAGGCGCCGGGGGCATCGGAGCGCACGCTGCTGGCGATCGAGACGCGGCTCTGGAGGCGCGAGTGGAGGCCGCCATCGACAGACACGTTGAGTATGCTGCCCGGCGGCGAGAAGGGGTTGTCTCGCTGTGAGGATGGTGTTGGTGGGCCGGAGGGGTCTGGCGTGCGGAACGGGTCGCGGCGCTCCTCCTCGATGGTGCTCTCACCCCGACGGTCGATGAAAAAGAGTGGTTTGGGCGGGTCGAGGGGCGGGTCGCGCGATGAGCCCGTTATGGCGGGCGGCACAGCGATGGCCTCCGAAGAGGATGAGGCGGAGGAAATGACCGATGGTGGGGACGGCATGGTGTCGGGGGGGCCAAGGAGCGACGAGTGTGGGAGGGCGACACTAGCGTTGCACAATGCAGGTGCGTAGTATTAGTACTCGATCACACATGCGGACTGACCGTTCGTGTGTGGTCTACGGACAGGCATGTCCACGGATGAATCAGGCCCCCGCCTGCCCCTGAGTCAAAGATGGCATATCTTCGATGAACTATCGCGCATTGTTTTCAGCCGTTTGTGGCTGTCTTGCTGAGGCCTGGACTCGGAATGAATGGAAGACGCGGAGGACAGTCTCTGCAACCGGGCGACAGTTTCTGGAGACAAGGAAGAGATAGGCAGCGGCCGTGAGGCAGCATCCCCGACGACGGTGACGTGATCCGGGATTCGACGCAGGGGGGCAAAGAATTGGCCAGCCCAGGTTGCCCCTGCTTCTTCGGAGGAACGAGGCGTCTAGGCATGGCATGCGAAAGTCCTGCCGGGTATGCCAAAATGCCACTGCCTTGAGGATGGGTACTGTATCTGGCGGCGCACATGCGATGGCTGTCGTCGAGACAGGGCGAGGTGATCTGCGGGAGACGCATACGGCACAGCCATCCCACACTCTGTCCCTGAGGGAAGTTCTCAACGTTCGCCTCGCCTCGATGGGATAATGGAATGGACCCTGCCGCTTGGTTCAAGGGGGAGACCTGTGGATTGGACTATCATGATGCGCTGTCGTCGGCGTTCAACGGCACACATCCCTCCTCTTTGCATCCGAAAAATACCAGTGAGGCACTTGCGAAGGGAGTACGAGTCTAGAAGATGGTGGACGACCTGAGACCTGCCGAAGCGCGCTGGCGTCTGCCCCCTTCGAAGCGCCCTTGCCGCCGGCTTGATGGCGGGTCCAAATGCGGTATGTTAATCTTCCACTATCACCGACTCACACCCTGCCTAGGAAGCCGAGACAGTGCTGACAGGCACACGTTCCATGCAAAACACGTATGACCATCGGGCCGACGACTTCCCGCAGGCGAGACGCACTCGCTGGACACAACCCAATCGTCGCCTGTCGACGGGCCTCTACCGCCCTTTGGGCCAGGACGAGCATTCTCCTGCAGCTGGAATATATAACAGACGTACAGCAGACATGAGAACGCGTTGCAGCCAGAAGAATGCTCCCGCACGACACAATCGCGCTGATTGGCTACTTGGCTCTCCCGACGACCCCCGGGCTGTCGTACTGCACGATAGACGGTTCCGCCATGTAGCCGACCCGCACAGTCGAGAACGCGCAAAGTGAGTACCTCGCTTGCCTCGGTCGCCTTTGGTGCTAGCATTTCGGTATCGAACACGACAGAGACAGCGATCACGACTGGGCGCTGGAGTTAGATACGCCGCCGCCACTGATACCGGCGTCGCGTCCCGCACAAAAAACGTTTAGGGCGATACGCTGACGAGTAGACATCTGATGAGTGTAACAGCAGCTTCAGTTAGCTCCGGTACGTGATGTGGATTATTTTCGTAAGAACGAAGCTTGATTGGCATTGTCGAAACGTGTAGTGCTAGCCGCATATGCCTTTACAGACCACACGGCTGGTTGCGGGGCGCTTTCCCAGGCCACCGTCCCTCCGCCCCTTCGCGTCTGCTGCCAACCAAGCTTCAACGTAGTATCTTATCGGTGTAGCATGCTTGGAGATGCTACGCCCACGCCGCATGTTGTGCATAGTCAGCAACTGCCCAGCATTTCTATCATAATGATCTCCCAAAGACAACAGGTGCGCAAGCCATTGTATGTATACAAGTTTTATCGCGGCGAACTCACGCTCGTTCTTCGAATGCTGATCTCTGCCGCCGGGAGAAACGATCATATTTGATATCGCCCACCTGTGCTGCGCACGATGGATGTGGCGTTTAGGATGTGACGCCATCTGGACGTTTCCATCTTCGAAGGATCCCGTTAGTCTGTTCCCTTCTTGAAGCATCTTCTCCTGATACGCACGCCTTAAACGTGCGCAGAACAGTTCGAGATGAAGGCCTTACGGTATGCATTGCAATACTTCCTTACTGGGCGTCAGTTAAGGTTCAGCCTGCACAGCGCTGGCCACCGCTCTGACATACAACAACTGCCCAGACCTATTGTCAAGAAAACAATGGCATGTCGTACGTCTTCCCGTTGCGAGTGCAACGAGCAACTTCCGAAGGCGGAGCGCGTCGTCATAGACAACGACGTCCATCTCAGCCCGGGCGACCACGAACTTTGAAGATTGCTCGTCGCCTCCCGTTACCGTTCGAACGGGTCCTACCCTACCCTCTCGAAGCATCCCCGAAATCCTCTCCTCCAACATCAAGCATCTCCAATCCAATATCTGCATTCCTTTCCTTATCCCAGTCCCAGAGCCCACGCACGCCGTAGACAGCTTCCAGTCCAGCGCTTGCGCTCGAGCACCCTGCTCACCACGCCCCCGACGTGCTGCGCGCCTCCCCTTTAGCGGCGCACGCAGCTCCATGTCTCGGGAGCTGTCGTCGCTGTGTGCACGTCCCGACATACATCGCTGTCGACGTACGTGTGTCGTGGACGGGCACGTCTGTCAGCACAATGTCGATGCCGATGCCATGATCCTGCCACTTTGCGAGGCGTGCGTGACGTAGCGTGCGATCTTACGCGAGCGAGGCACGAGGCACACGCGAGGTGCGTCCGCTTTTGCGTCTACCGTTGGGTCCCTGCCTGGAAAAACACTGTCAGCCTCGGACCGTGCGTCGCGCAGGGATGGCGCGAGGTGTGAAGCCCAATAGGTTGTGCTCTCGCTTGCGGGCTCTGCTCTCGCTTTTCTTGTGCAGGTAAGACATGCGCTCGATGGTTACGTAGTCGGTGAGCGGCCGCGATGCACGGCACGTCCTGCCGCCGAAGTTCAAACAATGCGCGATGCCCTATGCTTTTCGGCTTCAATCCTGCTAACTCGATCTTCTGCCGCCACTCTGAGCTTGTGTGGCGACGTCCTCCTGTCTGTGGCCTCCCAGGTCTCCCGGACATCCTCTTGGCACCTCCATCCAGCCCGCGCCTCCGAGTCGCGATAAGCACAACTACCACAGTACCAGTAATTGCCTCCCAGCTAGACGCATGCGAATTGCGAGAAGCCAAAGATGCAGATAGTGCGGCGAAGCGCTTTCGCAGGAACCTATCGTGAACGTCCGCCGCTCGAGATACCTATCCCGAACACACCCTCGAAGATATCGTGAACCCTCAGCCAGCCAGTGTTATCAAGCATCTCTGTGCGAGATATCGCAGGCAGTGCCACAGAGAAGCATGCAGGGCCGCCGACGGGTCTGGCCCGGCGCGGCCGCGCGCGGTGCTTCTGCGAGGGCGCCAAACACCTCGATATCGGCAAGTGCGCTTCTGTGCGCTCTGCGCCACTTGGACGTCGTTCAAACGGATTTCGCAGAGCGTGCAGGGCCATCTCGTGCGGCACAGTCGGCACTCGCCCGGAAGGTACACTTACAGCCTGGTAACCTTGGAGCTTAGGATAAAGCGTGCTCCCGTGTTCACTACACTCCTCGTTTCCGAGGTGCCCACATGAGCTTGGTATCCCTTTTGTCGCTATCGTACATACGAGAATAACGATATTGTTCTGATGCCGCGGCGATGCCCGACGCCTTATTGGGACGCGCTCCGTCGGGACTCGGCGCTCGGGCGCCTGCCCGCAGGACATCACCGCGTCGTCCGTCGGCAGACGGAATGGTCAGGCTCCTCGTGCTGTCCTTGTGCTGCACGCACCGCCTACGGTTGAGGCGACTTATACTGCGCATAAACTACGTTTCTGCAATAGTGAAAAGCCTGTTCGTCTCCGTCGATGCTGTGGGCGGTGGGCACGGTACCACCTGGCCCCGTCCCCGCCGCCACGCTTCTAGCCTGACCAGAGATTAGGGCTGGACGTGGAATTACTCTGCTGGAAACGTAGACGACGCCGTTTGAGGCGTGATAACGCGTGCAAAGAAAGAGAAAGACGAATACTGCACGCATGCTTACGGCTCGCCTTGCCAGCAAAGTGACGTCGCATCGAGTATCTTGCGCTGCTCGCTATCTTAAGTTCTGCTTTGCAGCGAGGACGTAGGCGGAAGAAGCGTTCGGTTCCGCCTTCGCGCAGTTGCGAGTGTTCTCGTGGTCGATGGTATTTACGTGCATCTGGTTGAAAATGACCACATCATTTTTCACTCATCATGCCTGTCCGGAACTTGGTGGTCCGCCACACGTCGTGCTGGGATACCCCATCTCGCGCTGTTGTTCGTGACCTTGGTAGATGTTTTCTGTCGCTGCGCTACTGACAGATTCACGCTTGAATGCACGCGGCGGGGCCATCTGTCCAGAGGCGATGAAATTCAAGGTATCTCCGTGAGACGCTATGCATACACCTGACCCAGATAGAGGCGGACGACGTCACAGCACGCGACGCACGCCCAAGCTGGACTCCTCGGGCCTCCGCCTGACCCGGAAACCCAAAATCCAACGCAATTTCCGTCTAGCCTCTCACCCTGGGCAATCTCCTCGTGAGTTCCCGGTGGACAAGCTCCAGCAAGTCCCACCGCTAAGTTGGTCTCTGCCCGATGTGGCGACTGCCAGGCTTGCTAGTCTCCTTTTGTGGGCTCGTGACCTCCCTGTGTGGCCCAAGGGAGAATGAGTTACCGAGCACGCCGGTGTCGGTGACCCATGCGTCATTTCGTGAGTCTTGGCGACCGCAATCGGACGCTGCACGAAGGTTTCCCTGGGTAAAGCTCCGCGAGCATCCGCGGTCGCCTGCATTGTCAGTGTGCCTCCTCGTTGGCGGGCTGCCTGCCTCCCCGTTTCGGTCCCAGAGGTGAAAGCGCGACGTGGACAGAGCCACGTGCAAGCGAATTCATGCCCCGGTGTGAGCTGTAAAATCTACATTACGCTGTCAGTAACCTATCTCGCGCGGAGAAAACGACGCACCGCCCTGGGACGTCGGACCCGGCACATCCGTCTTCGCCTCACCACCTGCCGCCGTCGCCACTGTAGTCACGGATACCTTGGTGCTCCGACAAAAACAAACAGGCTCGCGTTCCTAGTACGCTTCACAACAACCAGCACTTCCGACGGCACCCTGTTGGACGCCTGCCAGGAGCGGCGCATCGGCGCGGAGAACGAACCTCGGATCACATTCCGCGTCTCCCGCCAAGTTCCTCCGGCGCAGAGTTGGCCCTTTCGTGCCTTGGAGTCGTCGCGCCTCGAAGATGTGCCGCGCCCGGGCACAGCACTGGCACAGCGACCGCGCGTGCCGGCGGGCGGGAAAGCGTTGGAGCCAAGCCTGAGCTAAGCCTCCGAGCTTGAGCTAGAGCCTAATGGAGCTCGTCCAGCCCCCGCCGATCGCATGACGCCACGAAGGCGTCGGCCTCCCCACAGCTGTGGCCGCGCAGCCCGATCGTCGCCCCAGGCGTCGACATCAGCGACCGCGGTGTGCGAGCGGGGCAAGAGCAGCGGCGGGCAGCGGCCTGCGCAGACGCCGAGGACGGGGTTCTGGCGCGTGGGCGGGGGTTAGGGTTCGGGCAGGGGGCCGGCGTGCGGTGGGAGCTTTGCAAGAGCAGAAACGTCCGCGGCTGGACGGGCGACGGGCGTGAGTGCGACGTGTCGAGATCGTCGCCTGGGGATCTTCAGCTCTGACAGCGCGTGTGTCGCGCGTCTTGCGAATATACATGCAGAGGCGATGCCTGGCGACCCGCAGGTCCCTCGGCGATCACGGTGGGTGTGTGCGCCTGCGCCTGCGCTACGTCTCGCCGGGAGCCTGAGCGGAAAACAAAGGACCAGATAGCACAAAGGGTCCGAGAAAAAAATCTATTGAGAGCCGGCGAAGCACCAGACGTAACGCACGACTGTCGGACCCGGCCGCCGCATAAGGCCACCATGCGAGTGACAGAGTGCGAGGGACAGAATGCAGCGTGAATCCTGCGGCGCCGCCCGCGGTCTCCCACTCAAACTCAATACGCATTCTACTGGCTGAGGCGTAAGGAACCGCCGCTGGAGAACGCGTCTGGACACGATCAGTGAGTGAATTCGCGCTGCCAGACGTGTCCGACGAAACCCAGCTCCGCGGGCCTGCAGCAGCGCAACTGGCAGAGCTGAACTCCTCCCCGGCTCTGACGTCTGCAAGAAGACAAGTCTGGCTGGACGCGTTCTGTTGTGTGCGTCTGGAAATGCGCTGAGGCGCAAGAACGTTGGCCGCACAGGCAGTGCTCTCGGGCCCTTTGGGCTCTCCCTTCCTGAGCCCGGTGTGTTGGGATTGATGAGCCATCGGCGACATGGACGATGTGTTGTACGCGAAGGAGAAGCGTCGGCCCTGACAGCTAGGTACACGAACTTTCTGTGCGCTCTTTCTCTATAATTGAGAGCACCTGTCATGAACAACGTGTCCTCTGTGCGATAATGAAGAACATCTCCCATGAACTCTGTGTCCTCTGTTGCCTTACTGAGCAGAGGACCGACGGTACGTGTAGAGAGAAGCAGAATGTAGGCACGCGATGAAAGCAGAAGGCCTGCGGCGGACCAGCCTCGGCTCGGGGACTTGAGGTGGGCACAAACAATCGTAGTAGGCCCGGACGTGCACATGTTCGTGTGTGCAGCACGGACGTGATAGGCGTGCGGGTGCCTGGAGCGTCGTAAAATGCCACACGCCCGTCTGATCGACGTACCGTTCCGCCGCGTCCATCATCCCACTCTGTCCTCCCGAGCGCCACATTTTTTGCCAGGGCGGAAATATACATTTGCCTCAGCGAGATGCGGCTCCGCAAACCGCGGACTCGCGGGCCTTTTCTTTTATTTTTTTCTGAGGGACTTTGAGCGAGGGTTTCCCGGCAGTTTTTGACGGAACGCGAGAGGCCCGTTGGGCGAAGGCCTGTTCTGGGCGGGGATCTGCGTGAACGCAGCGCGATCGGCGATCTCGCGGCGGATCAGAGCGACGGCAGGGCGCTTCGGGACCGCCGGGCTCAGAAGTTGAATGCAACTCACTGCAACTCGCTGAATGAGCCAGGCACGTATGCATGAACAGCGAGATGAGATGAGTCATCGACGAGGACGAAGGTGCGAGAAGGAGGAGGAAGAAAGAGGGAGAGCAATGTTGCATCTTCGGCCAGACTGACAGGGGATCAGAAATGAGTTGCTTTATCAAAAATCTTCGAAAGTGCGGCAGCACTTGGCCGCAAAGAATTCTGCAGCATCGCCACACAGCACGATGTGGCCAGGGACAGTGCGATAAGCTGATGACGCGTGAGGCCGTTGTAATTCCCACTTTCGTGCTAGCACTTGCGGCCTGCCGTACACTCGCGGCGTGTGGAAAAGACACGGGCTGCAACGTGGATGAGGTTATTCGACAACTGATACATTGCAGGCCAACTAGTCAGCGCTGCGAACCCAGCCGCGACCGCGTCTGTCCGACCGGACGACCGAAACCGTGGGAAACTAGGGCGTCTCCGCATCGTGGGAGCGATCTGATGTCGACATACCCTGTCCGCATTTGGCGGCAATTAAACTTTGCATTCAACATCTCCTCTATCCGCCATGCATTCAGTCCACCAGCCGTGATGGCAGACGAGACCGCCGCCGTGCATTCCAAATTACAATATGTGGGAGAACCGCTCTCGCTATCGATTTCAACACACGTTCTGCAGCCGGCCCCGGCGTCGGTCGGTAGCTTGCTGCAACGAGGACGGGGCAAATGAGAAGGAGATTGGATGAAAGAGAGACATCGACCTCGCCCTAGAATCGGCATTTCTACATATTGATTCGTCAGACACATACCTGCGAGGCGCTGCCGTGCATGCCGCAAGCTGGTGCTGATAGCGTTCTGCCCTCGCTCTGCCATTGGATGGCATCCCAGCGTACGCCATCCTGCATCGACTGATTAAACGGTTCCGACGAACGTTCCGCCGATAGGAACCCATCCATCGCGCTCTTTGGGTTTCTGAGACCGTGCTGCGGATGCATGTCTCATCGCACAACCCAGCCCGGCGGGGGGTCCTCGCCTGCTGTTTTCCCGCTTGTGAGGTCCGTCGCATCCCTTCCTCACGTCGCATCCTTGCTTCTGACCCTGGGGCACGCATGTCCATTTTAGGACGAGGCTGTGATCAGCCTCCTGTGCGGCAATGCTGCTCGCTATCTGGGTCTCGGCAAGCCTATATGCTTCGCGCCCCCATCTCCATGCTGGCATTTCTGGGAAATAACTTGACGTTGGTCCCGAAATACATTGCCCGGTCTCAGCGCCATCTAAGGTGATACACGAAGTTGAAGACACGCTGTCCTCCAGTGATGAGACCTCTTCGTGCCTGGTCGCCGCGACCTTTGCCACAGTCCCCCATCTATCGTTCTCGCCGGGATATTCATCCATTCTGCCGTTCTTGTTCAGTTTTTCCAGTTGTTCCGGGGACCCCATTCAGTGGCTGCCTGTCGTCTGTCGCGGGCACTGCCCCGTCGCCGCGCGCTCAGCCCCGTCTTGTTCTCCTAGGCCTTGTCGACCACCCCCTGGCGCCCAGCACGATGCTATCGAACATTGATTCGCCTCAACACCTGCCTCTCGCTCGTTTTCCGAGAGTCTGGCGCACGCCCGCACGCACATGCCTTGATATAAGGGCCTGACAGCCTGCAGAGCGAGCACACGGCTCCTCCGTTCGAGCTCGGCACCCCCCACCCACCCTCCGTTGACGACGCCCGTGCACACTCTTTCAGGCCTGCCGCGATGGACTACGACGCGTATGATGCACTGCTTCACCACATCTTCAGGCAGGTGTGTTCCTCTACCTCATTCCTCCCTCTATCTCTTGTTACGTTCTCGCATGAAATTTTACTCACGATGCACCGTAGACCCAGGGTGATGCCTGGTTCAAGCCCTCGGAGGAGAACGTGCATGCGGGCGTCTGCCTGCGCGTCGAGGCCGGCCACTTCCGCGTCTTCCCATACGAGAACCGCTACCTCGAGCCCTTCGAGGCCGCGGTACGCGCCCTGAACCCCGTCGTCGCCATCAAGATGCGGTCGGCCGCAATCCATGCGGCCCTCGCGACGATGTGAGTGTTCGCCTTCTTACGGTTTGGCATCCATGTCGCAAGGCTCGCACGCCCCAGTCAGGCTCGTGCCTGCCTTGTGTTTCTCTTGTTCCGCCGGCATGTCGCTTCAGAGCTACACACGTCGCGACTGTCGTGTCCGGCCTGCCTGTCACTCGCACGCTTGGCTTTACGTAAGCGATAAACGCGACCTTTTCCGGACGCGAACACGTGATGCGGACTTTGACGTCAGCCGGGTGACACTTACCCCGACATCGTCTTGTTCATTGTCTTTTCCTCCTGTCTATGATGCTAATCACGCTTTCCCTGCAGCAAGGAGGATGCCGACGCGATCTTCATCGACGAGGACACCCGCATCCAGGTGCTTGACACCATGAGCTGGCTGCCCAGGGCGGACAAGGAGCAGTGCGCCGCGTTCATCGTACGTCGCATAGTGTCCTATCTCGTATTCTCGCGCCGACACATCACCCTCCACAGCGCGACGAACGCGTGCTCGTCGTCTGGACCTACAACCTCGACGACATCATTCCAATTGCGCGCGATTTCGATGACAAGCTTATCAAGCTCGTCTGGGCGCGCCGCACGGAGCTCACTTCGATGTCCGTCGCGTCGGAGAGCAAGAGCGGCTCGGACCTACACCTGACCGAGAAGCTCAATCTCGACGAGGTCGCCGCGCTCTCCAAGGAGAAGGAGGAACAGGCGAACAGCAAGCGCAAGAAGGACAAGCAGAGGAAGGAGCGCCGCTGCCGCTTCGGCCTCGGCTACTTTGTCTCCTCCAAGGAAGACGTCGAGAAGGCCGCCGAGGGGCCTTCCGAACGCCCCACGCGCCTCTTTGCTCCGGTTTACTGTGGTTTCGCCTGTGCCATGTCGTTCTGTGAGTGAACCGCCGTTGCGAAAAATTTAGGCGCTCATTGTCGTTGCAGACTTTATCGCCAGTGGTACCAGCGTGCTCATCGTTGAGAGCGTCCTCGACGGGACTTTCACTCGGTTTGCTCTCCTCGTCACCGCTCCGCTTCTGTACTGCATCTCCATTGTAAGTTCGAGCGATTTTGCTGCATGTATGCGTGCACTCACGTCGCCGCCAGTTTTTCTGCGCCCAGCTCATCGGCAACATCACCATGGTCTTCGGTCCCGTCGCACAGTACCATCTGAACTCGAAGTACTACTCTGCCGTAAAGCCCGCGCCGAACAAGCAAGTCGACTCGAGTCTGCCGCACATGACGATCGAGATGCCGGTCTACAAGGAGAGTCTGAAGGAGACGATGCGAGTGGCATATATGCGCACGCGCAAGTGGCTGTCGCTCATGTTGCTCGTAGCGCACCCTCGGTGTATTCGCTCAAGAAGGCAATGCAGACATACTCGCGTCAGGGCGGCACTTCGTCAATCTTGGTCCACGACGACGGTCTGCAGCTCATTAGCGAGGAGGAGCGCGCGGAACGGATCGCATTCTACGCAGACAACAACGTCGGCTGGATTGCGCGTCCACCGCACAGCAACGCACCCGACGGCTTCAAGCGTGCGGGTCGGTTCAAGAAGGCGTCGAACATGAACTACGGCCTCCTCCTCTCGCTCAAGCTCGAGAAGCACATGGCGGCGATCATGGCCGCGGCCACGGCGCATGGCGAGGAGATCGACGAGGACGACGACATCGAGGAGCGCGCGCTGCAGCTCGCAATCGAGGAGACGTACGAGGAGAGCGGGCAGCGGTGGCGTCCGTGGGCGAACAACGCGCGCTCGCTGCGCATCGGCGAGATCATCCTCATCGTCGACTCGGACACAATCGTGCCCGAGGATTGCCTACGCGATGCGGCGCGCGAGCTCGCCGAGTGCCCCGAGGTCGCGATCATCCAGCACGAGTCGGACGTCATGCAGGTCGCGCACCACTACTTTGAGAACGGCATCGCGCACTTCACGCGCCGCATCAACCGGTGCATCTCGCTCGGCTGCTCGAACGGCGAGATCGCGCCGTTCGTCGGCCACAACGCGTTCCTTCGCTGGGCGGCCCTCCAGGACGCCGCCTTCGTCGACCCGGCCGACGGCGTGACGAAGATCTGGTCCGAGGCGAACGTGAGCGAGGACTTCGACATGGCGCTCCGACTCATGCTCAAGGGCTACATCATCCGCTGGGCGGCGTACTCGGACGGCGGCTTCAAGGAGGGTGTCTCACTCACGTGTGACGACGAGCTGAACCGGTGGCAGAAGTACGCGTACGGCTGCTCGGAGCTCATCTTCAACCCCGTCATCGAGTGGTGGCGCAAGGGCCCGGTCAACAAGCAGCTGCACCAGTTCATGTGGTGCAAAGCGCCGGTGCACTACAAGGTCGCGATGACGAGCTATATGTTCTCCTACTACGGTATTGCGGCCGGCGCGGCGCTCTCGGTCATGAACTACCTCCTCCTCGGCTGGTCGCTCGACGTCGACGGCTTCTACCTGCACTCGTTTGAGATTTGGCTCGCGTGCATGGTTGTCTTCCCCGCCCTCGGCAACGTCGGCTTCACGATCCTCGAGTACCGTCTCGGCCACCGGAATCTGCTGGATGCGCTGATCGAGAACCTGACCTGGGTGCCGTTCTTGTAAGTGATACAGCGTTTTCATCTGCCACTGTTTGTGCTGACGCCGCCGCCGCCGCCGCAAGCTTCTTCTTCTTCGGCGGACTCGCGATCCATCTGTCGCAGGCGCTGCTCGCGCACATGTTCTCGTACAACATCACCTGGGGCGCGACGAAGAAGGAGGTCGAGCGGAGCAACTTCTGGCTCGAGGTGCCCAAGATCGTGCGCCGCTTCTGGCTCGCGCTCGTCATCAGCCTCGTCATCTGCGCCGGGATGGTCGTCCTCGCGACGCCCGCCGTGCCTTCGGGCTGGCAGATCCTCGGATGGGACTGGGCCGTCATTTTCCCGCTCGCGATTACCCTCGGGTGCCACATTCTCTACCCGGTGAGTCTGCCCGCCCTCTCTCTGTGTCCCTCGAGTAAGGTGCTGACGCGTACTCCCCAGATCGTGCTCAACCCGTGGCTCATGATCTTCTCATATTGAGCACGCCTTTTCATACTTATGGATCTTGGGACAATGGATTCTGTTTGGACACTCATGTCTCCCCGCGCATAGACTCTCTCCATAGATACTACTCTACCCCTTACTTGCCTGCACTGCGCCCCGCGCACACACCCGCTCCGCTCTCGCTGTACATCTCCCGCTGGGTACCCGCTTTACTCCACTGTTTTTCTGGGTTTTATGCTCTTTGCGTAGCTTGTCGTTGTGTTGTATATACACGAAAGCTGCGATGAATGGGACAATCTTGGCAAGTGCTTTTCAGCGGGATGCGCTCCGGAAAGCTCCGAATATTGCTACTCGAGCGCTGCAAAGCTGCGGGTATCTTGCTGACCTCCTACCCGAAAATTGTCTTGCTCGACTAGCATGCGTTAACAGTCGGCCGATACGAACGTATGGGACCCCTACAGCAACGGCTTCACTGTTCAGTGGTTTCTCAGCGCACTGTTCACGAAAGGCAGGCGAGACATCATATTTCAAAAGTTCAGTGGCCTACCCCGGAAACTATCAGCCGCAACGCTCCGTGAGCAGCAAACGTGACGATGACAACCCACACTCGGAAGACAACATGACCTCAAACCATCTATGATGGTTTGAGCTTCTCTAGCTAGAAGCATCAGGCACCACACAACGTACGTGCTTTTGGGCTGTAAATGTGAAGCATCGCTCACATGACCCGACGCCAGCGCAGGAAACGGGGCCGCCGGCGGAAATTTGTCAAATAGCTCGCTGCTCACTTTACGTTTACGTTCTGCTTATTTGACTGCTGGCCGAAAACGTAAGCACCACTGGCAGCGCATGTGTGGGATGGGCGTACCTTCGTACGCCGCACAGCCGTCCTAGTCCTTTGTCGCGCCCCTCCCAGAACTAGATGGTACACACTCTGGACCTTTCAAGTTGATGCTGGACAAAGTCTGATGCATGCCCTTTGATATGGCTGCTATCATTACTGGCGGCTAGATACATGAATGACGGTGTTCAGGTCTCGTGTGCGAGACGACCAAGCGAGTATTCGCCGAATGTCTGCGAGTATAAGATGCTTTACTAGCCATGGTCGTATCACAGCCAGACCTGAGAAACGCACAAGCCAACCTGAAGCGCACATCGTCTAACCGCGACTTCTATATTTGCTAACCATGTCCAACGACAAGAAGATGCGTCTCGCCATTGTGTAAGTGCGTGTATCTAGAAACATGGGATGCTTGCTGATGTGCTCCAAAGCGGTGGTGGGATCGTAGGTCTCGCCTTTGCTATCTCGCTCGCTAAGTGCGGCGCACAGAACATCGAGGTAGACATCTACGAGAGCGCGTCAGCTTTCGGCCAGGTTGGTGCTGGAATGGGATTCTGGCCACGCATTTGGGAGAATATGCGCCTTCTCGGTCTCGAGGAGGACCTTAAGCCGCTCGTCAGCTCTGGTAGACTACCTCCGCGTCGCTTCTAAGCTAAGAAAATGCTAACGAAAACAAACTCCAGGAAAGCCCTTCCGCTACACCAAAGGTGACCAACCACAATACCTCTCCTTTGGCGAAAGCCACTGTAAGCACCAGCTTCTTTCTCTTCTCACTCGTGCCCTCATTGTTTGCTTCAGCGGCCCTGCAGACATTCCACCGCAACGACATTCTCGCCGTATTTCTGCGCCATATTCCAACATACTACCGTGCTCATTTCGGAAAGCGGCTTGTGTCATACACCGACTCTCCCGATGGGCCAGTCGTCTTGGAGTTCAAGGATGGCACGACCGCCACCTGTGATTTTCTTGTTGGCTCAGATGGGATCAAGAGCGTCGTGCGCCGCACGATGTACGAGAGGTTCGCTGCTAGTGTAGAGGACCCGAAGGAGAAGGAGCGGTTGCTCGCGTTTGTGAAGCCCACCTGGACGGGGCAGTATGTATATCGTGGTGTTATCAGCACTGAAGATTTAAGGAAAGTGACGCCTGACCATCCGGTATTTGATGGTCCCCTTTATGTGCGTTGCCCGGACACAATGACCAGAATTCGTGACTGACACCAATTGTGGCAGTTCGCGGGAAAGAACAAAGTAAGCACCTTGCTTTTGTCACAAAGTCGTGGCTACTGAGGGCACACCAGTACTTTATCTGCTACCCCGTCTCAAACGGTACGGGTATCAACTGTGGTGGCCTCGTTTCGTACCCTGAGGGGAACGGAACGCTACACAACGAGCCATGGGTCGAGACTGTCAGCCAGGATGAATTCCGTGCGGAGTTCCCCGGCTGGTCGCCTTACGTGCAAGCCGTCATCGATGTACGTATCCCCGTGCTCATACATCCGATACCACGCTCACAGCGCCGCGAAGCTCATCAAGGCACCTTCGAAGTGGGTTATCAACTCTGTCATTGGCCTGCCAACGTATTTCTCGGGTAGGGTCGCCCTCATCGGAGACGCGGTATGTCTCTCGCCTTGCTTTCGCATAGGACTGCAGTAATATGTCCCATCAGGCCCATGCAATGACGCCTCACCAGGCTTCTGGTGCGGCGCAGGGCGTCGAGGACGGCCTTCTCCTCGCTGCGCTCCTTGCGGACCCTCTCGCCAGCCCCGCGACGCTCCCTCACATCCTGCGCGCGTACGACCATGTGCGCCGCCCATTCTCGCAGGAGATTCTCCGCCGCTCGTACGAGTGCGGCGCAGCGTACTACTTTCAGCGTGGTGCATTTGCGGACGTCCCCGTCCCCGACAGCGCCAGTGGGAAGATCGCACCGGAGAGCTTGAAAGCACTGAGTGACCACATCAATGAGCTGCTGGAGTGGACGTGGAAGACGAGCTCTGATGGCGACAGAAGCGAGGCGTTGGAGATGTTTCATGGATTTGTTGTCAGTGGGGCTTAGATGGTCAATTTTGCGGCCTCAGTAGGTTAAGTGTCGAAGCTGAAATGTCTTAAGAGATGTCAATTCACGTCGTCATGCGGCACGAGCACCCTCCACAATATACTATCGTTCATCATAGACTCAAGGGTCTGCCCGTAAGACCAGCCTGGTACGTTACACGTCACATAATTTCTGACCGCCGCTCCCGAGAGCAGCAGTCACGCTGCCGCTTTTCCGCTCCTTTCTGCTCAAACTTATGTTTAGAATTTTTTCGAGCCTATGACGCAAAACGTACGAGAAAAATCTTACATGCTCCTTCCGCAGCGCTACATCACTCCACAGCTCTACCATTACTCCGTAGTCCACGGTACGGTCACGCCTTGGCAGGCACCAGACAAGCTACACTTACAATGTATGTGCCCTTGACTTTTAAACGCGAAGCACCGTCTCACATGACCCGGCACTAGCGCTCGGTCTTCGTCTCACCGCCTGCCCTCTCTACATTTCCTACTAAGTTCTTCACCAGCGGCAATTCACGCGGTGCATACACACGGAGTGCACAGACCGGCTGTCAACTTGCATGAGTACAATTGGCTGTCGAGAGCCCTCGAGGGTGTTTTCTGCATATTTTGCTCAATCTTTCTCACTCTCGCAAGTTTCTCGTCGCGGGGACAGGTTGATTCGCCGGGTTTAAACCCCTTTTACACAAGTTGGGTCAACCGTTTTCCTGACCCGTTGCGTCCCCCGACGCCACTGGGGGCGCCCTGAGGTTGCGCCCCGCGCTCACATGCCGTCCACCGCGAGCCCCGCCCGAACGCAGATGGCAAACCGCCGGTTGGTTCCAGGTGTGCCGTTGACTATTCATCAGTAGAGGACGTCTCCTGATAGAGCGGTCATTTGCACACAGACCGATTGATTGGGGGGTCAGCCATGACGAGCGGAGACCCCTCGCCTCGTCCTTTTTGACTCTCTACTGCCTATGAAACGATGCAATCCGCGAAGATCCATCCAGTCGCAATGCGCGCTCCATGCACACACAAGACATCGCTCTCTGCGCACTTTACATTCTACCGACTTGACCATGTGCCGACGATGCGAGCCCCGCTGGCACGGCACTGCATACGGGGGATAGGCGTACATCGACCTTCGTCCACCGCTCAGCGGTAAATGGACGTTTATCGTCCATCATTCTATCCATTCAATTCCCAAACTTTCCCGCTGGGTTTGTCGTGCGCGCCGGAGTACGCGGAGACTGATGCCCTGCGGTCCCAGACCTCCGTTGTGCCCCTCCCAGAACGAGGCTCGCTGCACGCATCGGGCATAGTGCACGCATTGAGGTTTCTGTGGTGGATGAATTCCAACGCATGCTCATCGGTACGGCAGCGTGACTACCATTGCTGGCGCCTAGATCGCACTAACGATGGTGTCCAGGTTCCGTGTGGCGGGACAAGTGCCTGCCAAATGCCTATGGGTATAAAATACTCTAATAGCAGTGGTATCACATCCAAACTTGAGGAACGCACAAGGACAGCTGAAGCACAAAAACACATTCGAAGAACACATAGTCTGATCGCGGCCTCTACATTTGCTAATCATGTCCGACAAGAAGATGTGCCTCGCCATTGTGTAAGTGCCTGCATTGCTCATAAACAAAGGTTCCTCGCTGATTTGTACTCCAAAGCGGTGGCGGGATTGTAGGCCTCGCCTTCGCCATCTCACTTGCCAAGAGCGGCGCACAGAACATCGAGGTGGACATCTACGAGAGCGCGTCCGCCTTCGGCCAGGTCGGCGCCGGCATGGGATTCTGGCCGCGCATCTGGGAGAGCATGCGCCTCCTTGGTCTCGAGGAGGACCTCAAGCCGCTCGCAAGTTCTGGTAGACTACCTCTGTGTCGCTTCTGAGCTGAAAAGTTGCTAACGAAGATGCACCTCAGGAAAGCCCTTCCGTTTCACCAAAGGTGACCAACAGCAATACCTCCCCTTCGGTCAGAGTCGCTGTAAGCACCACTTTTTCCTCCTCTCGCGTATGCGCTCACCATCCGCTCCAGCGGCCCTGCAGTCGTTCCACCGCACCGATATACTTACCGTCCTCCTGCGTCACATTCCAACATACTACCGCACGCATTTCGGCAAGCGACTTGTGTCATATACCGACTCTCCCGGTGGGCCTGTTGTCTTGGAGTTCAAGGACGGCACGACCGCCACCTGCGATTTCCTTGTCGGCTCAGACGGGATCAAGAGCGCCGTGCGCCGCACGATGTACGAGAGGTTCGCTGCTGGCGCAGAGGGCCCGAAGGAGAAGGGGCGGTTGCTCGCGCATGTGAAGCCCACCTGGACGGGGCAGTATGTATATCGTGGTGTTATTAACACTGAAGATTTAAGGAAAGTGACGCCTGACAATCCGGTACTTGATGGCCCCATTTACGTGCGTTGACAGACTCATTCATCAGCATTTGCAGCTGACGCTTAATCGTGACATGACGGCGTGACAGTTCGTAGGCAAGAACAAGGTAGGTCCCTTTCCTTGGACAAAAAGGCATGACTACAGAGCGCAAACTAGTGCTTTATCTGCTACCCGGTCTCTAATGGTGCCAGTATCAACTGTGGTGGTATTATTTCGTACCCCGAGAAGAACGGGGGGCTACACGATGAGCCCTGGGTCGAGACTGTCAGCCAGGAAGGACTCCGTGAGGAATTCCTCGGCTGGTCGCCTTACGTACATGCGGTCATCGATGTAGGTCTCCCGTACTCGCACATCCAATACCACGCTGACAGCACCGAGAAGCTCATCAAAGCGCCCTCGAAGTGGGTTATCAACTCTGTCGTCGACCTGCCGACGTATGTCTCAGGCAGAGTCGCCCTCGTCGGAGACGCGGTACGTCCCCCGTCTTGCTTTCGCCTGCCCGTGGGATTATCTTCTCAATATTATACCCCATCAGGCCCATGCAATGACACCTCACCAGGCCTCGGGAGCAGCGCAGGGCGTCGAGGACGGCCTCGTCCTCGCTGCGCTGCTTGCGGACCCTCTCGCCAGCCCCGAGACGCTCCCCCACATCTTGCACGCGTACGACCGCGTGCGCCGCCCATTCTCACAGGACGTCCTCCGTCGCTCGTACGAGAGCGGCACGACATACTGCTTCCAGCGTGGCGCGTTCGCGGGTGTCTCTGTTGCGGATAGTGCCAATGGGAAGATAACGCTGGAGAGCCTGGAGGCGCTAAATGGCCATATCAACGAGCTGTTGGAGTGGACGTGGAAGACGAGCTCTGGTGGGGATAGGAGCGAAGCATCGAAGATGTTTTACGGACTTGTTGGGGCTTAGATAGTCAGATCTGCAGCCTTGGTAGGATAAACGTCGCAGCTGAAGTGTCGTAAGAGACTCCCTTTTTTCGGTTTCCATGTCGCACGGGTGCCCTCTATTATGTGCTATCGGCTACTGTAAACCCTAGTAGGATCTCTCCAAATCGCTTGTAGCCGGTCGCTGTACGCGTACAACCAGTCCGATGCGTTATGCGTCACGTATTCTTCGACCGGTACCGCTTTTCACACCCTCCCCCTCCCTTTCTGCTACATTAAGCTGGTATCAGAGACGTTCCGGGCAACACATTCGTACATATATACGCTTTCCGTGGCGCTAATGCGTTTCTTGTCTCTGTCATTGCTCCGCGCTCAAGCGCTCATGGGTCACGGCCGCCACCACCGTTTGATCGCCGGCCGGTGACACCGGCCACACTCCCCAGTATCGAACCAAATCATGCCCTGACAGCACGCCGCAGTGCCCCGAGCATTACAGCAGCACCAGATTCAGCTAATCCCTTCATCAAGCCCGCAACAAGGCGCCGCGCAAAAGCTTGTGCACGAGCGATGCGGTTATAAGCTGCTGGGATGTCACAGGTGAGTGTCAAATCGTGATGCCTTGCGGCAATCGCTAAACGTGCAGATTCCTTAGATGACGCTTGGGCATCCGTTTAGGCCACGTACACAAGGTATGCTCGTTTACCTTGTGTTTTCGCCGAGTCGCTCATACTGTAATGTCTTTCTTGTATTTTAGGTCTCAGATACCAAAGTGGATATTGAAGAAGATTAAATCGTACTGATAGTCTATGCCAGCCCTGGGTCATCGGGATGCCATCATGACAGCAGTGTAATGACGGCGACATAGCTACGGTCTTTTGGCACGTAGTGCACTTTTAAGCGCTGTGCTCTGATTGCTCGATGTGCGATGCGAAGTCTGTACGTCGCCCGACCGAATACTCAGTCGTTGGCAGTCCAAAAACTCAACAGCGATTGCCAATATTCGCAGAACATTCCTTCTCCAATCTTCAAGAGGACCCGGAGATTGAACATGCGCGTGAACGCATGAGCGCTCGACCTATTTCTTCTTACACAGCTTGGGCGCCAGTCTTCCTCTCCCTCGTGCGAAGCTATCACGTCGATGACGCCGGAGCTGCCATCGTTATCGATGCATGAAGTGTACGTCCAGCCTGGCTTTGCGCTGCCATCTCTACTCTGCGAACTCACAATTCTTTGTCTTCTTGCCCTTATGCGCAACTTTTTTTGGTCTCGTATACCGTCTGCTCCAGACGAGATATATGCATCCAGCCTCCAGACACTCCACCTGGGCCACGCCCTCTGGTATCCCGAACCGCATGGGACGGGCGAGCCACAGATAGGCGACGTCGGCTTCGTGGACGAGGGTGCATTCGTCAGGCTGTTCAATCTCGACGACGCCTCCGTGCCCGAGAAGAAGGTCGAATTCTGGGATCCGCCGTTCGAGATCACAGAGCCCGTACCTCCGGGAGTATTCATGATCGACTCCAGGCGTAGTCCACTCGTTCCAAAAGACTATCGTAGCCATGGGGTGGAGAGCAAGGAAATGCATGCCTCGGCAGACGTGTGAGTGCATCAGTTCATCCGACCAATGTCTGTTTGACATCCTAAACTACGCAGAGCGGCCAGTACAGGCCTTTCTGTGACTCTCGACGCCAGCTACACATGCAGGGCGACACAGGGCGCGGTTCTTATCCTCAAGAGCGAAGCGCACGCAGAGAAGATACTCAGGAATCGGTTGTTGAAGAAATACATCGTTCGCCACTGCGATAGATGGTACGCGTACGCCAGGAATGAAATCTACCAGGACATCAAGCAGGAGGACATTGTTGTGGTGAGCGGTTGGGTCAAGACCACGGCAGATTGGGCGACGGTCGCCTTCAGTAACACGAGTACAAGCTCCAGTGCGTCACTGGAGGGCCGCGTTGGGGGCATTGCCGGAGCTGCAGTCGGCGGGTCGCACTCGAGATCGATGACAGGTCCGAGGATGGAACGGCAAGGTCAGGACTACATGAATAAGGCGTCTGATTCCCGTCCTGCCAAGGGGAAGAGGAAGAAAGCAAGAGCGTCCAATTTCCCTCCTGCCGAGGCGAAGAGGGACCAATGCGTTTTGTTGAGGCGCTACAAGATACGAAAGAGGCTCGTGTTTCTGAAGAAGGTTGTTGGGGGCGCAGGCTACGACCAGCTACCGAGTCCGGACGATGAACAAGGTGCTTCGAGAGTAGGAGTCGCAGCGTGGGAAGACGAGGACGAGGAGACAGCAGACATCCTGGTGCCCGGGAGCGAGGTACGTTTTCATTACCGTGTGTTAAGGGGCGCACAAGCTGATAAGATGCCAGGATCAAATCGCTGATTCGCTGGACATCCTTCTCGATTACATACTGGAGGTAAGTCCACAAAACATCGGTATCTCTATCCGTCGCATTAAGCATAATCCTGTTACAACAGGTCTCCGATGTTGAGGTCGCCATTGCAAGCGACGACGACGTTGAGAGCATCATCGTAAGCGTTGTTAGAAATGTCTTATGAGAGTGGAGACTTACTTCCGCTCAGGGTAGCAGTCATGTAGTTGACTTTGCAAGCTACCTTCGTCAAGTGCAGCCTTCAGTGGAGATCGACGGCACGCGTGAGTTTTTCATCCGCTAATACTTGTATCGGCTCTAACCATCGCACATAGTCGGATCGCTCTGCATGCAGGACGTAATTCGCCATGAGCGAGAACGCGCCGTTGCGCGCCGCATCACCGCTCCCGACTTAGCGAAATGGCCGAATAGCTCCCTCGACCGTGCTGGCTACTTGGTGGATTGGCACATCTTTGTGGGTCCAGATGCTCGAACGCTGAAGTTAAAACAGCTTGCCTTCACCAGTACTCGACATCAGCGCGCTGTGTGCATGTGCCATGCACTGTCGGCCGACGGCAAGTTTCTCGCAGCATCATTCGACACCAGCGCTAGTGATATCTTTGTATGGCGGCTCCCCGATGGTCTTCTGGTTCAATGCCTCCGTAATCAGGGCCATAGCAAGCCTGTCAGATCCTTGTCATTTTCCCCCAACGGCCCCACTCTCGTCTCACTAGGGTCTTACGACGAGACCGTGATTATCTGGGATGTTCAACGTGGCTGTGTACTCCGACATCTCATAGGACATCATTCGCGGGTGGCCAGCTCTGCATATTCCCTCAATGGCGCGCTCGTTGCCACAGCCGACATGACAAAAATCATGAAGATTTGGGACACCTCGACCGGCGCGTGTCTGTGTTCCTTTAATCTCAATGAGCACGTGTATCAGATCACCTTCTCGCTGGATAGCTCGCGCCTATGGATTCGTGCAGGGCTCTTATATTTCCTTTACGACGTGCAATCCTACAATCGTATCACTGTATTGCGCCACAAAAGGGATAACCCAGTCGGCTTCTCAATGTCCCGCCAAGGGGATCGCATAGTCACTGGAACATACCACGGGAATGGCGTGACGATCCGGGACGCGGTAACCGGTCGAGAGCTTCTCACAGTCGACGACGAGAGAAAGCTGGTAACCCCTGTAGCATTCTCCCCAGACGGTGCCGAGGTGCTCGTGGTCTGCCAGGGGAGCCGAATGGCCCTCGCTTTCGACTCGCGGACGGGCCAGCGACGCCATACCTTCGAGCTGTCACACGTGCCCCATCATATCGCATACTCCCCGAACGGAGATTACGTTGTTCTTGCAGGTCATCGCGGTAGTCTCGAGGTGTATAACGCGAAGTCTCGGACGTTCGTCGGAAAGAGCGAAGGATTTTGGGATGACGCAGTACTACAGGAAGTTGTTTTTTTACCCGACAGTCAGACTATCCTGTCGCATTTCTCGAGGACCCCAGGCTCTCATGAGCCTCTCCGTCTATGTAATATCCAGGATGTAGTGCGATTGCGATAGTGTCTAGCAGTTTGCTGAGCTCAACCCATTGCGCTGTGTTGCGTGGAACAGTCAGACATCCGGCGTGGGGTAGAATTTAATCCAGGCATCAGAGGACAGTCGGGGCGACGACCACGCATGCCAGGTCTCGCCGGCGGTGCACTGATGGCACACGACGGCAAGGCTTGTGAGGCTGACGCATGGGCTGCTATGCTCAGCCGACGCGAGGAAAATACCGCAGAACACAACTCACCAGAAATGACCGCCATCCAATCTTTCGTGAATTGTTAAGACGTTCTCTGACGTGACATACGTAAGCTTTGAAGGCATCGGATGTGCGCCGCGGCGACAAAAAGA